TCTTGTAAAGGCATTTACGCAAATTTTTAATAAATATTGAGTATTTGCATACATATTAAAATACAATTTATAGGGGTTGTTTACCAATTTAGTTTAAAGTATAATCAACAATAGAGCAAAATTTATTATGCCGGTAGCAATGATTAACATCAGTTTTAAGTCTCTATATATTAATTTTATGAGAATAATGAATATTATATGCACAGTTATCAGTCTATTTTAGCTCTTTATTTAAGTTTTGACAACTTTTTCTTTAACTGCCTCCTTTAGCTCTTTATTTTTTTCGTTTTCAGGAAACACAATTATTGTATATTATTTCTGATTTGCAAGGCAATTAGTTTTGCACTTCCCAACCTTGAATATCAATTCTCGCCCATTCAAATCCAAGATATCACTGTAAATATTAGAAGGTGATGAAGTCTATTGTATGAAACAAGAGAAGTGGATATTAATTATACTGAAATCATTATGTTAATGCCCATAATGTTAATTCCAGATAAATATGACACAAAATAATAATTGAACACTGCTCTTCATTTAAAAAATTGAACACTTTACGACGATAAGGAGCTCATATTACCGAGGCTCAGATGATGCATGAAGAAAATCCCGGTGAAAAGTTTCTTATTCCTAGACTTACTTTAACACCGTCAAACATTACTCTCTCATTCACTTTTCAGCGCAAACAGTTTGCGATACGGTTAGCTATACAATGATCATTAATAAGAGCCGGAGACAATCATTGAAAAAGGTTGGCATCTTCCTCCGTCGGCCTGACCTGTTTCCACACATGGGCAGTTATATGTGGCGGTCTCGAGAGTAACAAATCCACATGGGTTAAAGTGTTGTATATGACGAAGAAATTAAGGAAATCGCAACAAATGTGTTGTATATAAAAAAATGTATCATAATTTGTAGATTCCCTTAACGATTTGCTTTGCATACATGCATACCTAGTTTATCACATCATGGTTTATATCTAGCTTCGAGCATTGCTTTTTAATTTCCTATTAAATAGGATTTCTTATATTTTATTTTATATTTTCAATTAGGTTGATTTAGTATAAAATTCTTTTGCTCTATATAATTTATCTGAACTTTTACATACTCCACTCCCATGCAATGCATGAGGGAAGTAACTAGTTTTCATTAGTTGTTTTAAGCAAAACAATGTTAAACCAATGGATTTACCTGTGGTGATAAAATTTTTGTTGTATTAACGTGTGATTTTTTATATAGATTTGTCCACTAATATTACTAAAATGAAACTCTTGAACAAAAAAGAGACTTTTTTAATTTCCTAAAATGTGACTAATAAGTTTTAAACTTACTAAATTACCCCTAATGACTTTAGCTTACAGTAACATACTCACCCCAGTGACCTAACCAGCCTAGTGACCTGACCCGTCAGTTAAATTACTCGATCTGACCCGGCCAATTACAGTTACCTGATCTGACCTGATCAGTTACAGTTATCCGATCCGACCCGACTAGTTACAGTTACCCGATTTGACTAGAGATGGCAATTGTGACCGAACCGATGGATACCCGCACTGAACCGCCCCGGTCAAAACGGGGAAAACCGCATTGACCGGGTAACGGGTACGAGGCGGGGAATACCCGTCTTGTTTTTATGCGTAATGGGGTGGTTACGGTTTTATACATGTCCGTCCTGTTACCCGCCTCGTTACCCGCCCCGTTTATTTGTAGTTATATTTTTATTACATTTTTATCTATTATTTGTCCCACAACTATTAAAAGATGAGACTTTTCTCTTTCCATTATGTATATATAGATTATCGATGTACTAATTATAATGTATGAATGAAATCTCATAATAGATTTTAATAGTCTTGTTTGATTATTATCATATTTTTTTCCTAATTAATTACGGAGTATTTTTTAGATCAAGTATTTTAGGTCAAATTAATTTAAGTTGCTTCCTTTCTCGTCTTGTAGATATATGAATCTTTAAAGTGGCGTCTGAAGTCTAGAGTCGTCTAAGCAATGTCATTTTTCGTCTTTTAAAATATTATTTGTATATAAAAAAATTTAATGACTCATTTCATAACGCGGTTACCCGCGGTTACCCAAAATTTTACCCGTTACCCGTTGGGGCGGTTATGGTTTGAATAAAAATTACCCGTTGGGTAATGGGGTGGTTACGGGACGGGACAATTATCCAACGGGGCGGGTACGGTTATATATAAAACCTTCCCCAATCCGCCCTGTTGCCATCCCTAGATTTGACCAGTTACAATTACTAAACTCAATCCAATTCGTTATTCAATCCGACCAGTTACATTTATCCGACCCATCAGTTACAGTTACCCGACCCGATCAATTAAAGTTTCACGAACCAACCAGTTACAGCTACTCAATCCGATTAGTTACTGTAATCGTCGGCCACATTACAGCCGCCCTGCGATCGACTAGTTGGCATGGCCTGTCCCTCACCTATCTTGCCCCAGCCTCCAACTACGCAACCACATCCCTTGCCCCACCAGTGCCGCCCCAGTCCCCAACCTGTCTTCTGCTACTCGCGGTTGTTCCCAACAACCCTCCATTTTCTCCCCTACAACTCATCACCAGCCCCTTTGTACCCACACTGCCTAGCCTTAGCCCCACATTCCCTCGTCTCCAATTTGTGTCCGTTGCTCACAGCCCTCAAGGCCAACACTGGAAAAGCCTCAAAGTCCGACTCACTCCAAATTTGTTGCAACCGTATGCGCTAGAGTGGGTGTACTTCATATATCAATGGAAATTCAAAATTTTGCACCCAAAATAATTTGCACTGTGAAAGAAATAAGAAATACGGAGTAAGAAGTATAAAAATATATTATCTTTGTCTCAACTGAAGTTTTTCATTTTCATGGAAGAATTCGGCTTATATTAATGACCAATAATTTTTCAGAGTATGGGTCAAAAGACAGAAAGAAATCTGACAACCGTTATCCCTCGAATCAGACTCGGAATTAATCGTCGCAGCAATAAAATTCGCTGATCCATTATTGGGAAACACAAAGCCAAAAACGGTCACCATATTCCTCTCATCCCCCTATGTCCAAAATTAACGTCTTACAAACTGGAACGTAAACAAAGAAACAAACATCAAAATAAAAGCAACAATTATTGAAGTAGCAAACAAAGTAAAATAAAAAACACTCCTGTCGCAGCCATAGCACCCAAGAAATCCCTCTGACTTGCGACCTCCATCCTGCGGCTTATGGAGCAAAGCCCACCTCCTCCCCGTTTTTTGCTCCATCCAAAGCCATTGTGTCCTCCACTTGCTCCTTCTCTGTCTGAGTCTCCCATGTCTTCCTCCTCTTAGAAACCTCTTCTTTTGGCTCCTCCCCACCTTGTGTGAAGCTTTGTGCTGATTCAGTCATTGATACTTTCTCATTTTTTACTACCCTTCCTTCTGCTTTGGATTCCCCTGTGCCTCCACCCGTTTTGCCAGAGCTCGATGAACCCTCCAAGAGCCAACTCTGCCCTCCTGTCGGGCTCGTCTTCACCCCACTGCCTGCTCTTAGTTGGGGTCCAAATCTTTTTCTAAAACTAAGCCTTCTTCATAATTTAGGGGACAAAAATTATTCGAATGTCCAATCAAACCACAGATAAAGCAAAAGTTGGGCAACCATTCATATTTAAAATCTACCCAAAAACTTTTACCATCTTTTTTCAGATTTGTCCCCTTCTTTAGCGATTTATCCACCTTCATAAGAATCCTAACTCTCATATATGGCTCTAATTTATCCTTCTTCTAATTATCATCATATCTAATATATAAACTCACCTATAAAATTTTCCATACGCCTGGCAGTACCCAGATTAACAAGACTATAGGGAACATTATGAACCTGGACCCAAAACTCTGACTCATTTAATATGATTTTGTGTGGAATATAATATCATCAGGCATAACTTCTTTTAACATTACCAGACTACGTTCAAACTGCCAAGGGCCTCCATCAAGCACATGCTTCATATCAAAATGATGATTAAACGAAAATAGGTACCTTTTTCACCGATTTCCTTCACCGACATACCTTTCCCCGGCCGCCAAAGCGAAAGCATCGCCTCCTTGAGGTCCGGAAATTTGACCTTGCGGTCAGTAAGATCTTGGCCGATCACTGGGAAACCGATCGCCGCCTTCTCCACCGGACTGCCCTCAACCTCCCCTTCATCAAGATTCAGTTCTTCTTCGTCATCACCGATCGCCATCAGCTTATACCGGTCAATGATGCTATCCATAAACCTTCTATATAGCCCTGCCTCAGCCGCTGCTTATGCTAATAAAAACGCCGCTTGCACTCTTCATTTCTCCCTAAAGCTTCTCGGACTGCCTGGATATAAAGCTACGCCCGCCGCCCTCTTCACCAATCCAAACCCTCCAACCAGCACCTCCTTAACCACCACCCAGAACCGCCCAAAGCAAACAATAAAAACTCGCTCTTCGAATAATCAAAGGCGGACAAACCAAAGATAAGGGTTATCGGCCGATACCCTAGAGAGAGAAAAAACTTTACGGCACAATATTAACGAATCGATAAATCTTTACCTCTCAACTGAAGTTTTTCATTAAAATACTTAAATGTATTAAGCAAAATTAAAGTGAATTGAATTTTTTTAGTTTGATTCTATATTTGGTTATGGGTTAAAACCAAACAAAAAAAACTGAACTCACCCCTACATGTGATAATTGATACCCCTTTTGTCATCTTATAAGTTTGTAATTTTTTGTGTTTTGATCGTACAAAATTTTATCACTTTCCTTTTTTATCAATTTTCTGTTCATAAATCCCATTATTTTGAGTGTTGGTTAAATTTTATAAAGTTACAAGGAAACATGAAGTAATAAGTGTAGGAAGTTGGAACTATCTTGGTAAAAAGATTTCCAAAAATTTTATAGATTTACATTTTATACACGAAAGTTGAGGAACCATTGCAGAGAGTAACACAGGTTACACGAGAGTTGGTTTGAGAGAATATGGTTACACCACTCGCCAAAAGAGTGGTAGAAAAAGTCAGATCCTGTCTTCCTCTAAGACCTCTCAACCATGCACGCTCTCTCCCAACTTTCAACTCTGTTCATGCCAATCCCTTAGCCGTTAGATGGTCTCCGTCGTCGCGGGCGGTGTAGAAATGAATCCTACCAACCCAACGCCGGGGACTTCCACCATCACCGACTCCGCCGTCACATTCCAGCCACCGCCCAGCCACCGAATCCTCGAGATCTGTCTCATCTCCGCCCGTGATCTCTCCCCCGTCTCCAAGCCCCTCCGCTCCTACGCCCTCATTTGGATCCACCCCAACCGGAAGCGCTCCACCGGCATCGATCAAGATGGCCACACCAGCCCCGCCTGGAACGACAAATTCTCATTCAGAGTCACCGACGACTTCCTCTGCTCCGATCATTCCGCCGTAAACGTTGAGATCTACACCTCCTCGTGGTTCCGCGACGTGCTCGTCGGCACCGTCCGCGTCACGATCGGGAACCTACTTACCCCTGTTGCCGTCAACGGCCAGAGATTTGTAGCTCTTCAGGTCCGCCGGCCGTCCGGCAATCATCAGGGGATACTGAATTTGGCAGTTTCGCTGATTAACCCAGCGATATACGGTAAATCAGATCCGAATATGTTAGGGCTAAAAATGCGAAAGATGGTGAGCGTACCGGAATGCGACGACGACGAAGATGAAGACGAGGAGAAGAAGAAATTGAACGCCAAAATTCAACAATGGCGAGCCATGAGCGAAGGCCTGTCAGATATTAACGTTGATTTTCCCGGGAAGCCGGGATCAATGGTGAATGGATCGGTATGCAATGGTTCAATGGTGAATTACGGGTCCGAACTTTGCTCCGACATTGGACCGTCCGCTTCGATCGTGGCGGCGGAGATACAACAGAAGTCGCAGTTGTCGCCGGTTCAGCCAAGGGAATCGCCGGTGAGGAGGGGAAAGGGGAAATGCGAGGATGGAGGGGAGAGTTTGATACTCGAGGATATGACGGTGGAGGAAGCGGCGGCGAAAGGGCTGAACACGGTGAGCGTAGAAAGGTGGAGAACGGCGGGGCCGGTGAGAGGACTTGGGAAGCACGGACATGGAGGGCAGGAAAAAGACGGCGCCGTCAAGTGCTTCGCCAACGCTTACGGGTTTGAGTTCACCATAGTTTGCGGGGCGGGTAACAGTAACGGCAACGGAAGTAGAGTTAACAGTAATAAATCCAGAAAGAAGACGGATTAGTAGGCGCCAGTGGCTCGTCTCTTACAATCGATCGATTCACCGTTAGTTCTTTTCGGTTTAAATCATTAATTAAAGAGCTAATTACAGATTAATTGATTAATTAATCACTAACCCCTGTTTTCATAACAATACATTGCAAATTGAGTTGGGATTTTTGGGAGATTTTAATATTTGATTTGCCATTACCATTACTCTTATTGTACAACCTCAAAGCTCTTGTGTAAATTTTGGTGCAACTGCTCCTCCAGTTAATATATTTATTTATTATTCTTACTTATTTATGCCTCTTCCAGTCTCCCCCTTTTTTCTACAAGTTGTTATGTCAAATATAATACGCAGTGACCTTTTTATTTGGAAATAAACCAAATATAGAGTGCAACAGTCAAAAATCAAAATAGTCTGTAAAAGTCATCGATCAAAATGTACACTTATTTAAGTAATTAACATTAAGTATATTACTAGACACTAGTGACTAGTCTTATATTATTAGTTATTTACTTGTGAGTTATTAATTATCATTATTACTTGAACATTATTTGCACTATGTCAACTATCATGCTGCAGTCAAAAGAACTTGTAAAAACTAAAAAGTCATTGAAGGGTTTTGTAATTATTTTAAATTATTTACTTGTGATAGTTATAATTAAAAGTATTTGTAATTATTATTATTATTGTTGTTGTTTACTGGAAAAATCTATACCAAAATGATTGTGTATGTTTACTGAATTGATACATATACATATGTGAGATTTTACTAAATTGATAAGTTGACAGAACGTGCAATAACCCAACCATGAGATTTTATTATTTGCCTATGCTTTATGAGAATAGTCATAAAAAGACATACGAGTTCATCCAAAAAACATAGGGAATATAAGGAATTAAAAGAAAATAAAGCTTGGTAAAGAGGCATGGTATAAATAGATTGACTGTTGAAGCTTAGCACCTAACCCACAGACGTGGGTTAGGGGAGTCAGAAGTGATATGCTTCTTCTTGGATTGGATGAGAGTATGGCTTTGGAGAGAGCAAAATGGAGGGCGGGTATTCGTGTGGAAGAGTGATCTTGTATCATCTTTTCCTTTTTTTTTTCTTTTATATTTTTATCCTTATATATAAATATTACTTTATCCTTTTTATTTGATCTTTTTTATGTATATTCATCTCTTTTATATTATCTTTTTTTATAATAGCTTATCTTTTTTATCTTTATTTTCGTTCTTTTCCTTTTGGTGATATCATATATCGATTCATGTTAGCCGACCCCAATATCGTTTGGGACTAAGACTTGGATGTGTTGTTGTTGTATGTTTTTTTAAAAGACTTTATGTTGTGTTGTGACCTTAGTTTATTATATTTGTTTCTATAACTATATTTGGTGATAGTCTTTTTATATGTAAATCCAAATTATAGCAACTTTCGCGCATATAATCCTTAAATAATTAAGTTAAACCATAGTGTATTTTCTTACAAAAATGTATGGGTAAAAGATAGGACAAAAGTGTGTGAATAGGATTTCTATATCATATACTACGTATTTTCCAATAAAATAGAAGTGGCCGGTGTGAATGTGTGATGTATTGGTAAACACAGACTCTAAAAAAGAAATTGAGATGGCCGTGTTTTAAAATGACATTCTCAAGTATACTACTCCCCCGTTCCCCTAACTTTGTCCCGTTTTACCTTTTTCGTCCATCCCATTAAGTTTGTTCCATACCATATTTCGTAATATTTAGGTGATTACAATTCATTCTTACTTACTCACACTTTATCAATTCAATAACAACCACATAATTCTACTTTTTTTTAAAAGTTGTAACACACTCCTTTGTCCCAAACATAGTGGGACAGAGGTAATATGCAATAATGCAATTCCTCAAGAAATTTTGTATTTCACCAATTAGTTGTAACTAGAAAAAAATTGTGAAGGAATGATCTGGCATTCATGAACTTATCTTATACTCCCTCCGCTCTCCTATTATTGTCTAAGGGGGGTGTATTCAATTTGGATTGTTGTGGACTTTTTTTAATCCATGGACTTTTAAAAAAGTCAATGGACTTTTAAATCCATAGACTTTTTTATGAATGAATTCTATGGACTTTTAAATCCATGGATAAGTTTATTGACTTTCAAAAAGTCCATAGACTTTAAAATGCGGACCGCCACTGCTGGTCGTCAAAATTTTCACCTAGATTGTCGCTACCGATATGCCTGTGACCTGTCCGCATCCATCACCGGAGTTCCCCGTTGTCGTCATCGGATTGACGCGTCACCAACAAAATGGCTTTGGTTCTGAAAGGGAACTAGGGACAATTAATTATATTAATTAATTAATTAAATTAGGGGTGAACATGTAATATTTATTCCCATTTAAGAAAAACCAAACATTTAATCATACTTTAAGAATAATGCTATATTTTAGTCCTACCGTGAGTGATTTCCTCTATATAATACGGAGTACGATAAGAAATAAATAAGTAAGTAAATAAATAAGTAAGTAAGTAAATAAATAAATAAATAAATAAATAAATAAATAAATAAATAAATAAATAAATAAATAAATAAATAAATAAATAAATAAATAAATAAATAAATAAATAAATAGATAGATAGATAAATAAATAAATAAATAAATAAATAAATAAATAAATAAATAAATAAATAAATAAATAAATAAATAAATAAATAAATAAATAAATAAATAAATAAATAAATAAATAAATAAATAAATAAATAAATAAATAAATAAATAAATAAATAAATAAATAAATAAATAAATAAATAAATAAATAAATAAATAAATAAATAAATAAATAAATAAATAAATAAATAAATAAATAAATAAATAAATAAATAAATAAATAAATAAATAAATAAATAAATAAATAAATAAATAAATAAATAAATAAATAAATAAATAAATAAATAAATAAATAAATAAATAAATAAATAAATAAATAAATAAATAAATAAATAAATAAATAAATAAATAAATAAATAAATAAATAAATAAATAAATAAATAAATAAATAAATAAATAAATAAATAAATAAATAAATAAATAAATAAATAAATAAATAAATAAATAAATAAATAAATAAATAAATAAATAAATAAATAAATAAATAAATAAATAAATAAATAAATAAATAAATAAATAAATAAATAAATAAATAAATAAATAAATAAATAAATAAATAAATAAATAAATAAATAAATAAATAAATAAATAAATAAATAAATAAATAAATAAATAAATAAATAAATAAATAAATAAATAAATAAATAAATAAATAAATAAATGCAAAAATGTAATTCAAATAGCAAGACAAAGTTCTACAAAAATAAATGAAGCATAAGAATTCAAATTGCATTGATGTAATACTATCGATTCTTATATCGGTTCTTCTATAAACTTCTAGAATCGAATCAATATAGGATTACTGAATTGAGGGGGGTGGACTGGGGACGGCAAGCTAAAGAAGAAGAAGAAGAATGGAAGGAGAGGGGTGGGCAAGCTGGGTTGAAGAAGAAAAAGAAGAAAGATTGAAAAGGAAGGTGTGGCTTGGCTAAAGAAGAGTAGAGTTGGGGGAGGGGGGGGAGTAGGCTTGGCCCGAGGCCGGTCTGACTGGCCCGGGACCCGGCCCGGCCCAGCCCGGCCCGCCACTGTGCGGGTCCGACCCGGCCCGTTGGATCGGTACCGGTACAGGGCCTAGGCCCGACCCGGGGGGATAAATTGGGGCGGATCCGGAACTGCATATTTGAGGACCAGCCCGGCCGGTTCGGGCCCGGTCCGGGTCTTATTTGTTTTTTTTGGGGGGGGGGGGGGGGGGGGTTGGCCTATGGTAGGTAGGCTGGGTGTTTTGGAGGGGTTTGGGGGATGAGGGTTGGAATATATAAGAAAACCGAAAAAATGAACCAGCCCGGCCCAACCCGGAACTGGCCCGGCCCGATACCGGTAGACTCCCGGGCTGGTCCCGGGCCTTACCCAAAAAAATCCAAGCCCGGCCGGGCCCGACTCGGAACAGAAACCGGGTCTGGCCCGGTCCATCCCTAGGAGGGAGGGGAGGAATGGGGTGGGATGGGATGAAGAACCGATATAAGAAAAGTCCACGGAAATCTTTGGTGAGGAGAAGAGAAAATTGTAGAGAATTTTTGCACTAAAAATGAGTTAAAAGTCCACGAGAATCCATGATTTTAGAAGTCAATAAGAATGAACGGAAATTTGAATACGCCTAGACTTTTAAAAGTCCGAATTGAATACACCTAGACTTTTGTGGACTTTTAAAAGTCCACATTGAATACACCTAAACTTTTAAAATCCATGGACTTTTAAAATTTTGCCACTAAATCCTAATACAATACACCCCCCTAAATTTCTATTCATTTGATCAACACAAATCACTTTTAATATCTTATTTTATGTATCAATTTTTTATCAAATTTGAGTCTGGTTTTTGTGACTTTATAAAACTTTTAATGTAGTTTCTGAATATGTATTTTTTTCTAACAATATTTTGTGTGCGGACTGAGACCCGTTTGCTTTATCGTCGATCAAACATCGTAAACCGCAATGAGACAATAATAGGGAGACGACGGAGGTAGTACTTCCCTCGTCCCAAAATGATAGTATGTAAAATCAACTTTTTTTTGGTCCATCCAATTTCACCATATACTAATTTGAAATTTGTCACTAGAATTTGGCTAAAATAAATTTTTAGTCCCTGCAAATATGGCACACTTTGTTTTAGGTCCCTGCAAAATAATTTTTTTTGTTTTTCATCTCTGTAATATGCACCATTTTGGTTTTAGTCCTTCTAAAATTTCAAAACCACCCTACTTGGGAAAAAAATTAATTCCAGTTGCATAGATTTACTAGAAATATTTAAATTGTCCTTTTATAATTTTTTTGATGCTAATATGAGAGTAAAAAAAAATTAAAACCAAGTATTCACATTTTAAAATACATATCAAAAGCCTTCAAAAAAATAAAATAAGATTTTTTTTTAATAACATGACAAATAATTAGAGAAAATGTGTTAGTCAGGGTTATTTTGAAGTCATGGGGAAGTTGTTATCATCTGTGATGGACTAAAACGAAAACTAGCATAAATTGCAGGGACGAAAAACAAAAATAATAATTTTGCAGGGATGTACAACAAAATGTACTATATTTGCAGGGACTAAAAACATATTTAAACCCTAGAATTTTTAGTGTAGATCCGTAGATCCCGTCTTTCCGAGTAATGAATTTTATTTATTAAAATTGATCTGTTAA